CAGAAATACTGAATCACTATGTTATGAACCAGGAATTAACATAGTGCCATAGGTCAATAATACTTCAAAAACAAACAAACAAACATAGAAAAAGAGATCCGATTTGTGGCTACCAGAGGCGGGGGTAGGGGGATGGGGAATTAGATGAAGGTAGTCAAAAGGTACAAATTTCCAGTTATAAGACAAATAAGTACTAGGGATATAATGTATAACATGACAAAATAATACTTACATAACTGTATGTTATACATGAAATTTTTTGTTTTGTTTTGTTTTTTGGCCGCATTGTGTGGCATGCAGGATCTTGGTTCCCCGAACAGGGATCAAACTCGTGCCTCCTGCATTGAGAGCGCAGAGTCTTAACCACTGGACTGCCAGGGAAATCCCCGTGAAAGTTGTTAAGAGAGTAAATCCTAAGAGTTCTCATCACAAGGAAAAAAAATTTTTTCTATTTCTTTAATATTGTATCTATATGGGATTACAGATGTTCAATAAACCTACTGTAGTAATCATTTCATGATGATTGTTAAGTCAAACCATTATGCTGTACACCTTAAACTTATACAGTGCTGTATGCCAATTTTATCTCAATAAAACTGAAAAATAAATAAAGTAAAAAGACAACTCACAGAATGGGAAAAAAAATTTGCAAATCATATGTCTGATCAGGCCCTAGTATCTAGAATATATTTTTTAAAAACTCTTACGGGACTTCCCTGGTGGCGCAGTGGTTAAGAATCCGCCTGCCAATGCAGGAGACACGGGTTCGAGCCCTGGTCCTGGAAGATCCCACATGCTGTGGAGCAACTAAGCCCGGCTGCCACAACTACTGAGCCTGCACTCTAGAGCCCGCGAGCCACAACTACTGAAGCCTGGGCACCTAGAGCCCATGCTCCGCAACAAGAGAAGCCACGACAATGAGAAGCCCACGCACCACAAGGAAGAGTAGCCCCCGCTCGCTGCAAACAGAGAAAGCCTGAGCGCAGCAAAGAAGACCCAACACGGCCAAAAATAAACAATTAATTTTTAAAAACTCCTACAACTCAACAATAAAAAGATAGACAACCAAATTTAAAAATGGGCAAAGGACTTACATAGATATTTCTCCAAAGAAGAAATTCAAATAGCCAAGAGCACATGAAAAGATGTGAAATGGGGGCTTCCCTGGTGGCACAGTGGTTGAGAGTTCGCCTGCCGATGCAGGGGACACGGGTTCGTGCCCCAGTCCGGGAAGATCCCACATGCCGCGGAGCGGCTAGGCCCGTGAGCCATGGCTGCTGAGCCTGCACATCCGGAGCCTGTGCTCCACAACGGGAGAGGCCACAACAGTGAGAGGCCCGCGTACCGCAAAAAAAAGATGTGAAATGGGAATCAAAACCACAATGAGATATCACTTCACACTTACTAGATGGCCATAAAACACATACAAAAAAACAAAAACGCCCAAAGTAACAAACGTTGGGAAAGATGTGAAAAAATTGGAACCCTTATACACTGGGGATGTAAAATGGTGCAGCCACTGTGGAAAATAGTTTGGTGGTTCCTCAACAAGTTAAACACAGAATTACCATATAACCCAGTACATACCCAAAAGAATTGAAAACAGGTGTTCAAACAAAAACTTGTACACAAATATTCATACCATCATTGTTCACAAAAGCCAAAAGGTGGAAAGATCCCAAATGTCCATTTTGAATAGATAAACAAAATGCAGTATATCCGTACAATGGAATATTATTCAACCATAAAAAGGAATGACATACTGATACATGCCACAGTGGGAATGAACCTCAAAAACATGTAAAGTAAAAGAAGCCAGACACAAAAGACCATGTACTATATGATTCCTTTTATATGAAATATCCAGAATAGACAAATCAATAGAGACAGGAGATCAGTGGTTGCCAGGAGCTGAGGGAAAAGAAGAATGGGGAGTGACTGCTTAATGGGTACAGGGTTTCCTTTTGGGGTGATGAAAATGTTTTGGAACTAGATGTGCAACATCATGAAGGTACTTAATGCTACTGAATTGTACACTCTAAAATGGTAAATTTTATGTTATGTGAATTTTATCACAATAAAAAGTTACAAGGTTAAAACACAGAAAACAATTTCTTCATTTCTAATTTTTAAAAAGTTCATGAAAAAAATAATATATTCCTTGAAGAAAGGGGCATTAAAGGCTCACTTTTGCAGTAAGTTAATCTCAACATTTTCCAAACCAGATATCTCATGACAAGTTCTACCAAAACAATTAAAACTGGCATCAAATTCTACTTTTGAAGCTTTGGGAATTTCTGTATGAATGCCTTTATAATAGATGTCCTTTACAGCTATCAAATATGTCCTAACAGTGCCATAAATTTTATGATCTCAAACAAAAATGGAAAAGACCCACCCCTCTGAAAGTATTCTGGCTTTTAGCCAAGAGACATAATCAGGTATACCTGCAAATAGAGCTGGTCTACTTATACTTAGATGGGAGACAGAGAAAGGAAGAGTTTTTTCTTGCACACAACCCCACACACACACACACAAACATATACACAAAAATGTAGGCCCTCCGTTAATTATTTTTAAGTTATTTATATGACTAGAAATGTGATAGCAATAAAACAGTTCTCATCTTTACTTCTGACTACTCTGGTTCTGTGCAACCATTGGCTTTATCATTTCCTGGCTAAGTGATGGACACGTTAATGAAAAGAAATTCCCCTAGGGAAGAAAGTTAAAGTCCACATTACAGAAATTTAACTCCTAAAACACTACAGAATAATTACATCAACAAATGTAGACTTGTGATATGGGTGGGGATCAACATTGGTCTAGAAGTCAGAACTCCAGGGTCGACAACTTACTAGGGCAAGTCTTATTTTTCTGAGCTTTATTTTCTCTCTCAGGTATAAAAAGGAAAATAACTTTCCTGCCTGCTTCCCAAAAGAAGTACAGTAATAAAAATATGTACAAGGTGTGATAGGACCACTAAAGAGGGGCACCTAACCTAGCCTGGTGGAGGATGCTGGGAAAAGGAAAAAAGGGGGAGCAGGAAAGGCTTTCAGGAATAGCTAATGACAGAGGTTAGTATAAAAAGAATGAATTCAAATTCAAAGGGAGGGGGAGAGATCAGAAGCAAAGCCAGAGAGACGAACACCACAAATCTGCTTATGCTATTCCCTCCTTGGTAAATAGTCAAGGGCTCCTAACTCTGCAGGGTAGTCCTTCATCCCAGCCTCAATCTAAGATTCCACTTATCTCATTCCACTCCCCAAATATACCATGCCTACACTTTCTTGCCTCAATACTTGAATGTTCTTCCACTCCAGGAACATCTAGTTAGAAACTGGGAGACGAGTTTGCCTGCCAGAGTTGATGCAACATTTCCAGGGTGTCATGGTGCTTTTATACTTCTACTCTACTGCTTAATACACTCAGTATTCATTTAATCTAAGAGAATATGAACATTGTATTAACTTTTATATTTAAACTCTGGGTAGCCAAAACAAGGATTACACTCTTTCCAACATCAAAGCAGAATAAAAGAAAAAGGGCATGGGAATGTTCTCAAATTTGCAACATTTCCAAGATAAATGAATATATGTCAGTAAAGTTTGTAAAAAGTAACCATGAAAAGTTAAAAATCCATAAACTATTAATCTTGACCCAGAAAAGAATGAGACCATCACAAGGCGGATGAATTTAGAGAACAGCGCATCCAAGTAATCTGCTGTAATTTAAACTCACACCAAAAAGCAAGTGTCAATTTGCAAACAAGATAAATTCAGATTAACGAAAAAAATTATGTAGAATTATTTTAGCATTCAAAATCAGCATTTTAGTTATCCTTTAATGCAAGGTATCTTTCCTTTGGACTGTTGACAATTTTTAAATTCATCAATTCAAAGGATAGAGACTGTCTAGAAAACACCTGCTGCTCTGTGTCATATACAGAGACCACTTTAAAAGTTCTCTTGGTATTACAACTTACTATAGATGAAAAACAGGTAACAATGCCTCTCAAAATTGAATGCAATCACCACCACACAGAAGATTTTCACAACTTAAACGCTATTATCATACAGTTGCTTCAGTCCACAGTAACTCTTAAGAAGGAATAGCCATACCACTTGCATCTGTTTTGAGGGTTCAATTTCATTTTAACAAGATCTACCAACTCGCAAGATAGGGAGATACACACGTGCAGGATTTCCACCTACATCCCACTACATAAATGTTTCACCATTCTTAACTAGTCCAACAAAACCTCCTTCAGTACAGTGAAGCCACCTCACCACTTTTATCCTAACCCCATCATACCATCTCCTCCCCATCCCCAACCTGTCAGTCACAAAACACACCGTTCCCAAATAATACCTCTCAATCTCCTTGAACCTAACCCATTTACACAACCAGGTAGCAGTATCCCTCACAAGATACAGTCCTATCGACCTTCACACATCAACTGACTCTCTAAATTAAATCCACTTTCCCTCACCCCATTATATACTGAAACTCAACTTCGAAAACCCGAAGCGATCTTCCCTTTCAGTAGCCTCAACCTCACTTAAATGACCACTCGGTCCTTTGTCAAACGTCACCCGGCCCCCTCATGTAACCGCCTCACCTTCTCTGTCCCCTAGTCTCCCATGAACTCCCAAAGTTGCCACCCCCCCAACGAAAAAGACAAAAAACGTACCTCAACCTTAAACCTGCCCTTCCCCACTTTCCCCCTCTGATTTTCCTCTCCGCCTGTTGGCTCACACCGAAAGCAGCTCCGACAACCCTGAAGACCCGAGCCCGGCCTCGTCCCACACGTCTTGGTGACGGCAATCACCCTGCCTCGGTCAAGCCGCCCCCCACTAGGGCGCTTACTCTGAACAGACTCTTGGCCGCCGCTGCCTCCCTCCATTCATCCCCGGCCCATTCATCTCTCAACCCAATCCCAGACACGCCCCCCGGCCTCCTCCCTCACTCCCAGCTTCCCGGCGGCCCGGGACCCTCACCAGATTAGCGGCTCTCGCGGAGGGTGACTCTCTTTTCGGTTCTCCCTCGCCCTCCTTCAAGCCTCCGCTCGCCCCTCGACTAGCTACACCGTAGAACACACAGATACACAAACCGCCTCCTCTGATGCCGCTTACTCCCCTCCTCGATGTCTCGCGCTCCGCTCCGCGTCGTGTGCGCGTGCGCGCGCGAGCGTCTCCGCGTGAGCCCACCCGGCCAGCTACGGCCGGTAGGTAAAGAGCGGGCGGGGTTAGGGGAGTGGGGTACGATCGCAAGCTCGCGCTCGCCCGAGAGCTGGGCAGGCGCACGCGTACACCAGTCAGGGAATTCAGATGGAGAGGAGAGGGGGACGGAGCGGGGCGGGGAAGGGAGGGGAGGAAAGGAGGGGGGAGGGGCGGAGAAAGCCGACTGAGCAGCCCCAACTCTGAACAGCCCCTATCGCTGCGAGGTGCCGAGTGGCTAGCCAACTAGAGCGTGCGCACTCTTCCCCCGCCCTCCTCAGCGCAGCGGGAGAGAGGGATGCGCGTCGAAAGAAAGGATTCTCTCCCTTCCGAAAAGAAAATCTGTAAGGAGCCACACGTGACACCTCCTGCGTGTTCAAAAGCTCTCTCTCCACGGCTGCGTTACCCTCTTCCCCTCCAAAAAAAAGAGTCCAAGCACACACTTGTTCCTAGCTACCCATCGCCCACGCAGTTCTCCACAAGACGCTAAATGCGGTCGCTGTACCGTGATGTGGTACCCCCAGCACTTCTTCAACCACCACCCCTAACTCCATTTTTCCAACTCTCGGCTTCTCTCGCGAGACCCATACCTGCCGGCTTCGGGATTAGAAGTCGAAGCACAGATTTACAAATACCTGTCTCCCGATTATGTTGCGAGGGCAACGGCCATGGCATGTCCCCCCTACCCCCCAGGACCGCAGTGCGCGCGCGCGGGGGCTGGGCAACGACGAAAGCGGGGATGGGAAAGGAAAGCTATGAAACGGATTTTTGACGGCATGTAACCGCTAGGCCTGGGCACGTGCCCTGCGCCTCGCGGGCGGGTGCGGTGTACCCTGGGAATTGTAGTTTTTGTTCCCACCTCCAGACCCACTCCCACCTCAACCTTACTTAGGCCTCCGTCCGAGAGGGGGATTACTGACGCCATTTTGCCAGGAACAATGGCCCTCGGCCCAGGCGGTGGCGGGTGGGGGAGGGAATAATGTTTTAAGGGTTATGTTAACCTCCCCTGGCCCCTCGATACCATAGCAACCCCTCAAAAACCTGGCCACGCCCCCTCGCAGCTCCGCCGGGCTCCAAGACTTCGCGCATGCGGAAAGGCCACCTCCCCCTGAAGCTACCTTTAACCGTCACCTAAAGTCCACCTCCCAGATTCTCTAGTTGGTAGTGACTGCTAACTTCTTCAAGCTTTCACTACATGTAAACCTCTGCGCAGTGGCTTTATTTAAGAACTGCTTCCTGCACTGCCAGGTGCAGTACAGAGTCCTTTCTGTCATTCTCCGAAGAGCGATCCTGGCTCCACAGAGGAGGAAACTGAGGCTCAGGAGGGGAAAATGGACAAGTTCACACAACTATGTTTGGAGGAGTCAGAACTTGAACCCAGGTGTGTTCACTCCAGAGCCCATGAACTTTTAAATCCCTCAGGTTGCATCTGGTGTCAGAGACCCTGAACAAAAGCTCCTAAAGGGCGGGATTGCCCCTCAAGCCTCAGCAGGATGCCTTGAGGGTAGGAGGCTAAATGGAAAATGCCAGGCTAATATTTTCAAATGCCCAGCCTCAGGGCCCTATCACTGAGCTATACTAATCTCTCCTCTCTCCACCATTTTCTTTTTTTTAAACATCTTTATGGGAGTATAATTGCTTTACAATGGTGTGTTAGTTTCTCCTTTATAACAAACTGAGTCAGCTATACATATACATATATCCCCATATCTCCTCCCTCTTGCGTCTCCCTCCCACCCACCCTATCCCACCCATCTAGGTGGTCACAAAGCACTGAGCTGATCTTGTGCTATGCAGCTGCTTCCCATTAGCAAGCTATTTTACGTTTGGTAGTGTATATAAGTCCATGCGAGTATCTCACTTCGTCCCAGCTTACGCTTCCCCCTCCCCATGTCTTCAAGTCCATTCTCTACGTCTGCGTCTTTATTCCTGTCCTGCCCCTAGGTTCTTCAGAGCCATTTTTTTCTTTTTAGATTCCATATATATGTGTTAGCATACGGTATTTCTTTTTCTCTTTCTGACTTAACTTCACTCTGTATGACAGACTCTAGGTCCATCCACCTCACTACAAATAACTCAATTTCGTTTCCTTTTATGGCTCACTAATATTCCATTGTATATATGTGCCACATCTTCTCTATCCATTCATCTGTCGATGGACACTTAGGTTGCTTCCATGTCCTGGCTGTTGTAAATAGAGCTGCAATGAACATTGTGGTATATGACTCTTGTTGAATTACGGTTTTCTCAGGGTATATGCCCAGTAGTGGGATTGCTGGGTCGTCTGGTAGTTCTATTTTTAGTTTTTTAAGGAACCTCCATAGTGTTCTCCATAGTGGCCGTATCAATTTACATTCCCACCAGCAGTGCAAAAGGGTTACCTTTTCTCCACAGCCTCTCCAGCATTTATTGTTTGTAGATTTTTTGATGATGGCCATTCTGACCGGTGTCAAGTGATACCTCATTGTAGTTTTGATTTGCATTTCTCTAATGGTTAGTTATGTTGAGCATTCTTTCATGTGTTTGTTGGCAATCTGTATATCTTCTCTGGAGAAACGTCTATTTAGGTCTTCTGCCCATTTTTGGATTGGGTTCTTTCTTTTTTGGATATTGAGCTGCTTGTAAATTTTGGAGATTAATTCTTTGTCAGTTGCTTCATTTGAAAATATTTTCTCCCATTCTGAGGGTTGTCTTTTGGTCTTGTTTATGTTTTCCTTTGCTGTGCAAAAGCTTTGAAGTTTCATTAGGTCCCATTTGTTTATATTTGTTTTTATTTCCATTTCTCTAGGAGGTGGATCAGAAGGATCTTGCTGTGATTTATGTCATAGAGTGTTCTGCCTATGTTTTCCTCTAAGAGTTTTATAGTGTCTGGCCTTACATTTAGGTCTTTAATCCATTTTGAGTTTTTTTGTGTATGGTGTTAGGGAGTGTTCTAATTTCATTCTTTTACATATAGCTGTCCATTCTTTTACATGTAGCTGTCCAGTTGTCCCAGCACCAATTATTGAAGAGGCTGTCTTTTCTCCATTGTATATTCTTGCCTCCTTTATCAAAAAATAAGGTGACCATATGTGTGTGGGTTTATCTCTGTGCTTTCTATCCTGTTCCATTGACCTATATTTCTGTTTTTGTGCCAGTACCGTACTGTCTTGATTACTGTAGCTTTGTAGTACAGTCTGAAGTCTGGGAGCCTGATTGCTCCAGCTCCGTTTTTCTTTCTCAAGATTGCTTTGGCTATTTGGGATCTTCTGTGTTTCCATCCAAATTGTGAAATTTTTTGTTCTGGTTCTGTAAAAATGCCGTTGGTAGTTTGATAGGGATTGCATTGAATCTGTAGATTGCTTTGGGTAGTATAGACATTTACACAATGTTGATTCTTCCAATCCAAGAACATGGTATATCTCACCATCTGTTTGTATCATCTTTAATTTCCTTCATCAGTGTCTTATAGTTTTCTGCATACAGGTCTTTTTTCTCCTTAGGTAGGTTTATTCCTAGGTATTTTATTCTTTTTGTTGCAATGGTAAATGGGAGTGTTTTCTTAATTTCCCTTTGATATTTTTCAATTTTAGTGTATAGTAATGCAAGAGATTTCTGTGCATTCATTTTGTATCCTGCAACTTTACCAAATTCATTGATTAGCTCTAGTAGTTTTCTGGTAGCATCTTTAGGATTCTCTATGTATATTATCACATCGTCTGCAAACAGTAACAGCTCTACTTCTTCTTTTCCAATTTGAATTCCTTTTATTTCTTTTTCTTCTCTGATTTCTGTGGCTAAAACTTCCAAAACTATGTTGAATAATAGTGGTGAGAGTGGACAACCTTGTCTTGCTCCTAATCTTAGAGGAAATGGTTTCAGTTTTTCACCATTAAACCAATGTTGACTGTGGGTTTGTCATTCATGGCCTTTATTTTGTTGAGGTAAGTTCCTGCTATGCCTGCTTTCTGGAGGGTTTTTGTCATAAATGGGTGTTACGTTTTGTCAAAAGCTTTTCCTGCATCTACTGAGATGATCATATAGTTTTTCTCCTTCAGTTTGTTAGTATGGTGTATCACATTGATTGATTTGTGTATATTCAAGAATCCTTGCATTCCTGTGATAAATCCCACTTGATCATGGTGTATGATCCTTTTAATGTGCTGTTGGATTCTGTTTGCTAGTATTTTCTTCAGAATTTTTGCATCTATGTTCATCAGTGATATTGGCCTGTAGTTTTCTTTCTTTGTGACATCTTTGTTTGGTTTTGGTATCAGGGTGATGGTGGTCTCGTAGAATGAGTTTGGGAGTGTTCCACCCTCTGCTATATTTTCGAAGAGTTTGAAAAGGGTAAGTGTTAGCTCTTCTCTAAATGTTTGATAGAATTTGCCTGTGAAGCCATCTGATCCTGGGCTTTCGTTTGTTGGAAGATTTTTAATCACAGTCTCAATTTCAGTGCTTGTGATCAGTCTGTTTATATTTTCTATTTCTTCCTGGTTCAGTCTCAGAAGGTTGTGCTTTTCTAAGAATTTGTCCATTTCTTCTGGGTTGTCCATTTTATCAGCATATAGTTGCTTGTAGTAATGTCTAATGATCCTTTGTATTTCTGAAATGTCAGTTGTTACCTCTCCTTTTTCATTTCTAATTGTATTGATTTCAGTCTTCTCCGTTTTTTTCTTGATGCGTCTGGCTAATGGTTTATCAATTTTCTTTATCTTCTCAAAGAACCAGCTTTTAGTTTTATTGATCTTTGCTATTGTTTCCTTCATTTCTTTTCATTTATTTCTGATCCGATCTTTGTGATTTCTTTCCTTCTGCTAACTTTTGGTTTTTTTTGTTGTTGTTCGTCTTCTTTCTCTACTTGCTTTAGGTGTAAGGTTAGGTTGTTTATTTGAGATGTTTCTTGTTTCTTGAGGTATGATTGTATTGCTATAAACTTCCGTCATAGAACTCCTTGTGCTGCATCCCATAGGTTTTGGATCATCGTGTTTTCATTGTCATTTGTTTCTAGGTATTTTTTTATTTCCTCTTTGATTTCTTCAGTGATCTCTTGGTTGTTTAATAGTGCATTGTTCAGCCTCCATGTGTCTGTATTTTTTACAGACTTTTTCCTGT